GTGATGGTAGAGTATTTGTGGAGGCGAAATATAGAAAAATATAAAAAGGGCCCATTCGAAGAAATTATGCGAGCAATAAAGAATTTAATATAAAATAAATATAGGCATGTAATATAAAATAAATTAAATGATTAAAACAAAAAATGACATTGTTTCATTTACCACTATAATAGCAGAGTTTAGGGAAACCTGACTTTATAGATACGATCAGTAGAATCTGTACTAAAACAGAATCAGAACACTCCGACTCCACGTAGTCTTGTATGCCCTACCCCCAGAGTGTATTTGTAAGCCCGTAAGGCGCAGAGGGAGAGCAGCTCCCGCCCGCTGTAGTAGATTGCAGGCCTATGAGTAAGCCGAAGATAAGAATAAGCCGAAGTTGCGAAGGCTAGCATGTGAAGGGGTTGCACTTCTCGCAGTGCCGAAGTAACTTTGTGTCAATATTCCTGTGTAAAAAAGTGAGGTTATTATTTTACAAAAAAAAGTTATTAGTCATAAACTACACACTTCCGTAAAATGGAAAGGGTAGGGGGCTTCCCCTAAACCTTCCCATTCCCACCCACTTAAGCAAGTACCCAATGTCTATAGTTTAACCTATTTTTTAAGTAGGTGATACTGATGATGATGAAGATTTTGTAATAATGTATTACCATAAAACCATAGAATACTATAATACACAATAGAATGGCTGTCAACCTTATTTGGTACGAGGATTGGTGTCGCCGGGAGTACACATACAAACAATTACGTCGAATTGTCACTACTATGAACCCGATTTGTTGTATTGACAGACTGAGCGAACACATTTTAGACTTTTGATTAATGTTTTTGACACATCAATATTTCTTTATTTTTGTTTGTAATATTCACAAAATGTAAATAGTTTCGACTTTCTGGTTGTAGAATACGTCTCCTTTATTTAAATTCCATTTCCCGCTGTTCTTTTGGCACGTAATTGTTGCACAATTTTCCATTTTTTAAATAATTTGCATACAGCAACGTTTGACACGATTGAAAAATTGAAAACGATTGATTGTGTTGACATTTATACTTTTTACTGGAAATGAGGCATTCTATCTTAGTCCTCACGGGTGACAACGCATCTGCATTTTGATTCGTAATCGAAAATAAATGTATATGGTCCATGGGCCGGGTGCAGCCCGGCCCCGCCGTCTGCTCCCTAGCTCGGCTCGTTGCCAACAGGGGTGACTAAAGATGGGCGAAACTGTTATATTTTTCTAATTCGTTATGTTGTTGTAATATATTTTTCTAACTGTTGTTTTAAACTGTTATAATATATTATAACAGTTTTAAATATTACATTGTACACGCGGTTAGTTCAGTTCAGTCGTCGGCTGTGTTCGCGTTTTGTTGTATGTTGTTATAACGATTATAAATATTACGATGAAAGATTATTACGATTATAAATATTAGATGATTATAAGTATTATATGAGGACAAAAAATATTTTTAAGTTGTATCAGCATCAATTAAGTGTTTCGTGTTTTAAAGAGAATCATTTAAAATATTTATGTTAAGTTCAATGAACTTCCCTTCCTACTTTTTATAGGCTTAAGGATGTCTGAATGTATGCTAAGCTGCGTAATTATTGTATCTATTATAATTATTTACTCATATTTTCAAAAAATTTACTTTTTTAAATAAATAATTAATTTTTAAAAGAAATAAATAACTCATTCAGGCGTAGTTAGAAGCTCATTGATGTTACGTCATTTTGATTGAATTTTTACATTATTTACACTGTGGTCAAAGTTTTAGTTATCTACAATTATTTACATTTTTTTCAGTTACTATTCAAAAATATAATTTGGTTTACTTTTGACGACGTACTTAAGTCTTTTGCGTCTATCCGATATTAAATCCGAACGACCAAACTCTTCGTACACTCCTACGTGTCTTTGCTTAAGTTGAAGCTTTAAATTTGTAATTGTACTTTAAAAAAAAATGTTTTGCAATAATTGCACACTGGTTTTTTTTTCGTCCACACTTTGGACTATAAAATAGTTCCAAATGGCTGCGCTACGCTGGCGTGACATTATTATACACTTTTACATACAACACGTTAAATCCTATCTATATTACACTAAATATTTAAAATTACTTTAGGAATAAAACTTAACGAAAAATAAACAAAAACAACAATAGCTTTTTCACGTAATATGGGGACCATCTATCAAAACATTACGTATATAATTTAACAGATAACAGTGTCATTGTCATCTCAGCTAGACAGCTAACTGAACACTAAACTGATATATTATATATTACAACAGCCAAATTAAATAACAGGCACAACAGGCAACTAATGAAGGAAATAATATATTTTTGTTTACCGTTATAATTTAGTGTTAGTAAAATAAGCCCTTATTAAGTTAGCCTAGAGTTTAAATTAGTGTAAGCTATACGCAATCCTTGTGGCATAATGAATGTAGGTAGTATTTTATTGACTCCCATTGTCTCGGCCGACGCGACGGTTGGACCGTAAACGTAAACAGATGACGCTTTCTAACGATAATGAATATAATATTATAACAGTCAATGGTTCAATATTCTAATGTGTTGTAAGATTAAAAATATATAATGAAATATATTATATGTTGTATGTTATAACGCCCAACTTTAGGGGTGACCGACCGCGCGCACAAATGCAGCTAGCCTCCCCCTCCCACACCTCACTAATCGTCGCTTCACACCGCTTGAGATAAGACGATCTACTATCAGGCGCTAACAAACCCCCGTCCCGGACATAAGGACCTATGTCCGCGAGTAAATTGGCAATTAGAAGACGTTTTGTATTGTTGGTTTTTACAAAAACGATCAACTGGGCAAATGATATCTGGCTATAAAATAATTTAGGTTATCTTTATAGCAGTATTATATTTTCAATTCAAAATTAGTACTGCATTTGTGATAATAATAAAATGTACGTATGTATATAGAGTACTCACTCATTTTCTTTCACTATTTTTTTCGTGACTTTCTTCATTAATAATAAATGCACTTTGTTCATTCATATTCAAAATTTCAAAACACTTTATACACAAACACCGTGTCGAAGACTGAGGAAAAGAAACGACATTAGACCATCGTTAGACAATGCACGGCCTTCAAGCCACACCTCCGTGCCCGTCGGAGAGCGTGAGGTTTTTTTCGTTACGGAATTTCTGGATTTTCCCGCACTCAAGGCCCGCGATAGAAGCTATGCAATAGCTTAAAAAAAATCTCAAAACTAAGCAGCTGAGCTCAAGGCTAAGTATTCGGCACTAAGCCACTTGTAATCAGATAGTAAATAAACAAAACCCAATGTAAATGTGGATTCACAGCCTGACTTCAAACATTTAGATCATTGTAAAGTAAGAGCCTAAAAAGAAAAACTAAAAAAATAGTTAATATTAATATATATTTATATTTACGCGAATACTAAATGGGTAACTCTTTGTTTCAGAGCACGAGGGATCTGTGACAGTAAACACCTGGCTGCCGAGCTCCAACAAGTCAAGCAAGTTTTGCATGAAAACAAGCTTCAGGTCCCGCGCCTACGTCACAGTGAACGAGTGAAGCCGGTCACAGTCGAGCGTTTACCTGCTGTACTGTCATATATCAGAGGAGTCACTGACAAGATTGGCTAGATTTTGAAGCGCGCTTCCATTAAAACACACTTCAAGCCGCCGAAGAAGAATGATCAGTTTTTACCACCAGTCAAGTGTAATGTCCCTCTGCAAGATGCAGGAGTGTACAAGCTTGATTGTGAATGTGGTCTCCCACATTTATTTATTTATTATTTATTTATTTAAGCCTTTATTTCCCAGAAAAGGAATTACATAAAATTAAACATATTACAAAATTTTATTTACATTAACAAAACCAATCATGCTTAAACAAATCTTTAACAAACATTTACGTATAAAAAATTAGCCAGAACTTGGAATAAATTTCACAACAATTATGCTCAATACCTTGAAATAAGTCATATTCTTAAAAACAAATAACAATTAACTACATTTTTCAAATCATCAAATATAAAATAATAAAAGAGATTACATGATCAAACAATTTAAATCAATTAAGGCGTATTTTAGAGCGAAAGGGGGAGAAATTGGAGGTGTTGCGTACCGGGCAAGGACTTTTTGCTGACCTGAAGCCATCTGTAACCGTCACCGAGCAAAACCTGGCAGACCGAGTTCGGTATATCTTGCGCTCAAATACATTTGAACTTTGTCACTGAACTCGAACGGTTACGACGTGAGGCTGTTCCTTCATCGGATGAAAATGCTACGGCTGAGTATGCGGCGCCACAACTTGCAGAGCAACCGGCAAACGTGGATGCTGCCGTGAATACCCCAGTTTTGGTTGATGCAAACGATGATGGAATAGTCGTCCAGGAACTGGAACTGGAGCAAATGAGGAGTACATTGGATGAGGCGATTTTGGAAACGCGCAGTACGCCTCTCGAAAATCGACCGTGACTTCCCCGCATAGCCCTAAGCAAGCGGAATCGGGCTATCGTGAGGGCTCTGAACCCAATGCTCGTGACCTATTTGGAAGCCAGCCGGGACCTTTGTGAGACGGACTCAATTCTCTGTGGCGCCGCACTGGCAGTCTGCCGTATTATAGGCGCCAGACTTTCCACGGCTGGGCGTACTACTGGATAAAGTAGTGCTATCCCAGCCTGGAGAACAAGAATTGAAGAACGTATCGCAAAGGCTAGGGCCCTCATCGGCAGACTGATATGCTTCAGGTCAGGCAATACAAGGCCAAGGATTGTGCGTAACGTCAGGATGGCGTTTGCTGGGACAAATGTTAGTTTGTCCCCGCCGGATATAATGCAAAAACTAACGGAGCGCATAGACGACCTGAAGCTGAGAATCGCTGCTTGGGGAAAGCGAATTCGGCGATATACCGAGAGGTTGACACGGTTCAACTAGAATCGTCTCTTCCAGAGTGATCAGAAGAGGCTCTATAAATCATTAGAGCGACCAATGGTAAGTGGAACGGGCCCAATACCGAATCAGGCTGATACGGCCGCATTCTGGCGCAGCCTGTGGTCAGAGCCCGTAAACCACAACGAGGGCCCTTGGACGGAAGTTGTGGCGAGTCAGTGTGCGGGTATTACGCCCATGGACCCCATCATCATAACGCCGGATGACGTAGCTGAGGCGGTCCGTAGGGCCCCGAAGTGGAAAAGTCCGGGGCTTGACGGCCTGCATCACTACCGGCTGAAGGGGATCATGGTGTGTTACGCTGTGCTCGCCCGATAGTTTCAAGAGGCTCTCAACCAGAAGTCGCTCCCGAGCCTCTTCACTGCTGGAATCACTCATTTGATTCCTAAAGATCAGGGTGCCACAGACCCGAGCAAATACCGCCTCATCACATGTCTACCGACCATATACAAGACACTAACATCCATTTTGAGCGCGAGAATCACTCGTCATCTGGACTCAAATCAGGTGATGTCGCGCGCTCAAAATGGTTGTCGGGGCGGTGGTCTTGGAACCAAGGAAGCACTCCTCATTGACGCGGTCATTGGCAAAGTGGTGAAACGCAACCGTCGGAACTTATCCGCCGCCTGGTTAGATTACAGAAAGGCATTTGACTCGGTGCCTCATAGATGGCTAAAGAGGGTCCTCGAGCTATACAAGATTGACTGTACAGTTCGAGACTTCCTCGAGCAGTGTGTAGTGCAGCAGTATGGGGCAGTGGAGTACGATCCTCTGTCATCTAGGCGAGCGAATGACGGCTGCGAAAAGCCGCATAAGGATAAGAAGGGGTATATTCCAGGGCGACTGTCTGAGTCCAATCTGGTTCTGCCTCTCTTAGAACTCTCTCAGTACTTTCAGGGCTCCGGGAAGGGATTTCAGCTTCGGAAAGGAGGTACAAAAGTGACCTACCTTTTGTATATGGATGACCTCAAATTATTCGCCTCCAGTCGCTCCCATCTTATGGAATTGCTAAACATCACTTGAGAATTTAGCAATTCTATTAGAATGGAGCTGGGGATGGATAAGTGTGCGGTCCTCCATATTGAAAGGGGAAGGGTTGCTAACTCTGAGGGCATAGACTTATCTATGCCCGTCAACTTAAGGACCCTTTCCGAGGCTGAAACATACCGATACCTGAGTATGTCACAGAACATCGGTATCGATGAGGCTGGTACGAAACAGTCAGTTTGCGAAGTGTTTTTTTTACGCTTGACCAAAGTGCTTAACAGACTTTTGTCCGGTGTGAATAAGACACACGCATATAATAGCTGGATCATGTCTGTCCTCATGTATACCGTTGGCATACTCAGGTGAAGTCAGACTGAACTTAACGCCCTAGATAGAAAAGTCCGCACTACCATGACGTCCCATAGGATGCATCATCTGAGATCGTCGGTAATGAGGCTGTACTTGCCGCGAAAGCATGGTGGGCGTGGCTTCCTGAGCGCGCTCACCATGCATAATCGCGAAGTGTGCAACCTCCGTCATTACTGCCTGGTGAGGTCGGATGATCCATTCTATAATGACGTCATTTTTAGTGATAAAGGAGTTACCCCTCTATCCTTAGCCAACGAGCAATGGCAGGACCCGGCAGTACAGAGCATTTTCGACCGGGAGATCGTATGGAAGGAGAAGGAGCCCCACGTAGATACAGCCGCCTCCCTCAACTGGCTACGTTTCGGTGACCTCTTCGGAGAAACCGAGGGTTTTGTCTGTGCAATACAGGATCAGGTTATTAAGACCAACAACTATCGGAGATACATCCTAAAGGATGGCACTGTCGACGTCTGTCGAGCTTGTCGCCATCCCGGGGAGTCATTTAGGCATGTCATATCCGGTTGTTCGGCGATTTCTAACTCTGTGTACTTGCACAGGTACAACCTAGTAGCCAGAATTCTACACCAGGAGCTCACTCTGAAATACGGTCTCGTCGACCGGAAATTGCCGTATTACAAGTACTTGCCGGAAGACGTGCTCGAAAATGTCCGCGCCAGGCTCTACTGGGACCGGGCCATCATCACAGACAGGACTATTCTTGCGAATAAGCCTGATATTGTGCTGATGGACCGTGCATAGTCAAGGATATTTTTGATCGACATTACCATTCCGTATGACGAGAACCTCGTGAAAGCCGAAACAGATAAACGAACAAAATATCTGGGCGTGGCTCACGAGGTGACCGACATGTGGGATTGTATGCCGGACGAAATTATTCCTGTAGTCGTCTCTGCGAATGGGCTAATCCCAGTCAGCCTCTCGGGTCATCTGAGGCGACTGGGACTCCGTGACGGACCGCTTCGGGCTCAAATGCAGAAGGCGGTGCTCCTCGATACCGCCCGCATCGTCCGCCGGTTTCTTTCCCTTTCCTCCTAACTCTCGGCCGTTTGGTCTCCCCTGCCAAGGGCTTCCATCTGGTTGGGCTTTTATTTATTTATGTATCTTTGTATTTATTTTATTTTATTATGTTTAGGTATATTTATCTTTTCATTTTAATTTATAATTATATAATTAATTAATAATAATAATAGGATATGTAGTGGTCAATTTTAACGTGTTATGAAGATCAATTTACAGCAGATTGATCATGATAATATAATATTCAAATTTTTACTTTTTACTAGGATTTGATATTATATATTATTTATTTGAGTACCCATTTACCTGTTTTCGAGTCATTATGAATCGTCTCTCACGCTGACTTGACGACTTCCAGCCTCCCGAACAAGCCAGTTCACACCTATGCCGGTAGTGGTAGGGATCGCTAAGCTCGAAGTGGTTGACGAGTACGTTTACCTGGGGAAAATAGTCCGACTGGGTAAGTTCAACTTCGACCGAGAGGTCAATCGACGGATTGACCGATGGACGGCAGCGTTCGGGAAATTACGACACGTCTTCTCGTCAGGTATACCTAGAATTCTGAAAACTAGATTGTACAACCAGTGCGTGTTGCCAGTGATGACCTATGAAACCAAGACGTGGTCCTTCACTGCTGGTCGTATGAGGACGCTCAAGGTCGCCCAGCAAGCTATGGAGAGGGCTATGCTCGGGGTTTCTCTGCGTGATAAACTCAGAAATGAGGATATCGGCAGTAGAACCAGAGTGACCGACATAGCCCAACGGATTAGTAAGCTGAAATGGCAATGGGCCGGCCATATAGCTCGAAGAACTGATAACCGATGGGGAAAAAGGTTCTCGAGTGATAGCCTCGTACCAGTAGGTGTAGTGTAGGGAAACCCTCTACTAGATGAAGTGACGACCTGTAAGACATCCAGGAAGTCGATGGATGCAGGTAGCTCACGATCGTGCTTTGTGGCATTACTTGGGGGAGGCCTATGTTCAGCAGTGGACTTGTGAAGGGCTGTAATGATCTACTACTACTACTCTACTGATTATGAAATGGTTTTTAAATTAATACGAACTACTTAAAAATTGGACTTACAATTTCCTAATCCGAATAATTTTTTGACCAGCGACTGTATTATAATTAAAAATGCTCGTCAAATAATCTCGCCTTATCTTTGGAAAGCATTCAGGGCAGTAAAGAGACCAATGAACTATTTCAATATGAGCTGCAGGTGGACTTCAAATGGCTTAAAATATTTTAGTCATATGTCAGAGATGCAAATTCCTAAGGATAATTAAATTATTTATACTTATTTTGCAAATAACTGATTGTAATTCAGTTCATTGGCATACATTATTTGTAAGGATCAAAAAAAATATGGTTTTTCATGATGCATAATATATTTTTATGTTGTAAAAGAATAAAAATGTTCTTTCTTTCTTCCTCATCCATTAGGAAAAAGGTTACGAATAGAAAATGTAAATGTAAACTTTGATGCTAAGAGCCGCAAAAGTATCGGAAGATGATGAAATTGAATACGACGGTTCAATCAGATTGCTAGCAATACAAATTTGCATGATTGTTCTTATTGAATATCTGATTGAACATAAACGAAAACTTGTAACAGAATTTATTTCTAAAACAAATTACATAAAAAATATTTTAATTTAGAAGTTTATAAATTTTTCACATATAACATGCCAGTTAACTGGGTTAAGTTTGATTCCCACTGGTACGCTGCAACATGGGGCGACAACGCATCTACAGTTTAATTCACAATCTAGGATATGTAGTAGATATCTACAGGACACAGCATCCATTCATTATCAGCTGGACAGCTGTTCGTTTGTTACCCTCTTCTAAAAAAATATGTGTGTGAAACTTTCAACCAATCAACCAACCTACAACCGTGCCCTTGGACATTGGTCCATATGTTTTCAAAAATGGTCTGAATTAATGAAAAAACTTTTAAAATGTTAAATACTTTGAAAAGCAGTAACTATATTAGTTTACATATAGTATGGTTTATTTATCTGTTAGGCAATACTTTTAGTGTAACCCACGTACATAGAGGGTAAATATAATATATATGTAGTATATTGATTGCATTTAATTTAATAATAATTTTATTATATTATAATAAATAAATCTTTATTTTATGTTTTGTATGTACATGTGTTTGCAGTATGTGTATGAAATGTGTATTCTCTTTGATGCCCCTCTTGGCTCCTCGAACCATTGTCTCACGCACCCATTGCGGTTGCTTACTGCAGGTTGCCGACGTGTTTGGAATTATAGGTCAGCCGATTTGGATGGGATGTGATTTTTTGCATCCTACCCTTGGAGGCGGTTTTGCTTCTCGCCGGATGATTCCAGCGTTGTTGCTGATTCTGTCGCTGATGTGGTACTACAGGGAATGAAACTTTTTATTCTATTATCTGTGGCCTTGGTTTGGTCGCTCCTGCAAAATTGCATTACATCATAAGTAAATTACCAGGCCTGGACTCGCGCATCGACGTCTTGGGATGTAGGACTAGCAACAAACCTATTCCTACCGCGTAAATAATCACGTCAAGCTTACTTTCGCTAGTTTTGTAACTTGCAGGATTTGCCGCAAGTCGCAAGTGTAAACACTATTTTGAAACATCCGGCAGTAACTTGCGGTTTATTTTGCTTGCAAATAATAGTTTAAAGTTGCTGAGCAATATTTCAGGTAAAAAAGTTTGGATGATACTAATAGGCTACTATACGCTAATAGAAAAGTATGAACAATACAGAGGATTATGGGATTCGAAATGTTTATGCAGTTTAAAAATTTTATCAACATGAAATTTTTAAACTGCGTAGGTTCTTCGCACCTGAGTTCTTTTAATAGATAATTGTGGATACCAACATTATTTCTTCTTAATATCCAACTCTTAACCCACTTTCTATT